TGGTGATGGGTTGTAATTAGTATTTGGGTGGCGAACATGATGTAATCTATGCAGAAATAGAAGTATAATGATGTACACCTGAAATTTATACAATGTTGTAAACCAATGTTACTGCAATAAACAAAAAATTTAAAAAAAAAAAAATCTAAGCCATGGACCCAGTGCGGGGCAGGGTGCACAGAGTATCTACCTGGAAGTAGAGACAACTTTCGATAATTTTCACAAAGGCACCCCCATTTAGGCTAGCAGTGGCTCAGTGTCAAACCTCAGAAACATCAAATCCTGGGAGAATATATTAAAAGGCTTAAAGTGGGATGTGGGTCATTCCATGACTAGGTGGAAAGCCCTCCAATTTAATGGTAGTATTTACCTTGTCCAAGCCACAACCTACGCCCCTTCATCACTCCCCAGTACCCCCAAAGCCACTCTCTCTGGTATCTCAGCTGAACCTTTAGGTGGGGCTGAGAGCAAAACTCTGTTTTTCCGCTGGAGGACATGAGTCAGTGAACAGTGAAGTTCCACTTAATCACCACTCAAAAACAAGGTCCTTAAAATCAGGAGCTAGAAAAGCAAGGAAATGATTAATATAAAAGTCAGGATAGTGATTATTCCTTGGGCAGGGCAGGACAGGGTGGAGGTGGGAGTGTGGGTGAGGGACCTAAGGGGGAAGGAATATATAGAGGTCTTCTGGGGTCTGACAGGTTGTTCAATTCCTTGACCTGGGTGGTGCTTGCTTTATATACTTACCATGTTTTATGTACTTTTCTAAATGTGTATTACAGTTCACAATTTTAAATAGCTGAAAAAAATACAAACTAGAAAAGGTTTTTAAGCAGGGAAAAAAGTGACCAGATTTGTATTGTTAAAAGATCACTTGGGTGTTGAACAGAAAATTTATTGAAGGTGGGGCAAGGCCAGAGGCAGAGAAAACAGAATGTTATGTGGCTGCCATAATTTGGTGAGAGATTATAATGACTGAGCTAAGAAAAGGTAAAGTATTAGGGATGTTGTCTACATAATTTTTAAAAACACAACCAAATAAAACAGAGGCTGGCATTACCCCCTCAGGTCACTTTTTACCTCTATGTGTTGGGTGAATTTGGCTCAGAAATTATAGTCCAGGGGCAGGCACATGTCTGAACAGACACATAGGCCAGGACTTCCCCCTTACCTCCCTCCATGATAAATCTACTCAGAGGGACTCAGACTGCCTGGCCAGTGGCAATGAGAGCACATTTTTCATGACACCACGATACTATCCAACTTGAGCTGGCATAGGGGCTTCTATCATAACATGTAATCACTCAAATCATAATATCTAGTCACTCGAGACTTTACAGAATGTTTTCACATCTACTATCTGGTACCAGAATGTTAGCTTCATGAGGGCAAAGGTTTTTGTTTTGTTCACTGCTGTATCCTCAGTGCCTAGAACTGAACTTTGTACATAGTAGGTGCTCAATAGATATTACTGAATGGATGACCACATTTAATTATTATTAATATTGATATTTAATCATCACAACAATCCTGTGAGGATAGATAGGACATGAATTATTATCCCCATTTTAGAAGTTAGAAAACAGATGTGGGGAGATTAAGGAACATGTCAAATGGTTGATAATTTGGTTGATGATAGAATCATGATTTAATTTCAGGTTTTATACTTCAATTCCCTTATTTTTCCCACTTCACAGATGAAGAAGGTTTAAAGTTCCTATAGCTTTGAAACACCAGCTGAAAGTATTCCAAAATACATAATAGGTACCATCAGATATCCGACGTCATCTGATGTGCTCGGTTACAGGATGAATGAGGCCTACCCAGCTGCCATGCATCAATCACCACAGTTCCCTCAGAGGAGACTCAGTGATCCTCTGGGTAATCAAATCTAGTTGACCTTACGCTACCTTGTGCTTAGGTTTCTCTCCATGTCCCTCACTTGTCTCTATACCCCATCCTAGCCATTCCACCTTTCCAAGCAAAACAAGGCTAAGAAAACTCTATTGTAAAAATACATGTTCTATTTTTTTCCTCTAGGAAAGAAAAGATAAAGAAATGTGGCAGCAGGCAGTTTTGGTGCTCTTCAAGAGCCTTTGCCATCCAAATGGAATCCCACAGGGAGGCTAAAAAATAATGTTCCATGAAAAGTTAATCTTGGTCTCTTTCCTCTTAATATTAATTAAAACTAGTTATTTGAGGCATAAACCACAACTCAGACACCTGAGAACTCCAATGTTCAGTTAGCGTTAGTATTTATACACCTGGAATTATATATGTCTTCTGTAAGATTCCTAGTCAAACTCTAAGAACTAGCAAACAAAATACTAAAAACAGTATTTTGGAGAGAATTTCTAAGATGCACACAAACCACTCAGAAAAGTCAAACTTTTAGGTTGCCTTCCTCTCTTCTTCTGCAAGGTCTAATATTTACTTTATTCCCAAGAGCAATTTGGTCTAGGAGAGTCGGACCATCATAGTCAGTTAAATAGTCTGTGTAACTACCCTGAGAGTGTCACACGTAGGACTCACCAGAAATTCATTGGCAAACTCCGCTTTGTTACTTTTCTTGTTTTGGGCCTCATCCAGGAACTTCTGCAGAATTTCTCTTTGGTCCATGCTGCAGGGCAAGAGAGACAGTCTATGAGTGAGTTAAGGGAAGGCATGTCAAATGTGTGTCATGGCCGAGACACCACCGAGAAGCAACTGCTGCCGCCTGAAGAGAACATGTTGAAGGCTGTGGTTTACTGACTTCATCACAAGCCCTAGAGGAAATTAGTACGTAACCAGCCTCTGTGGTCACACAACAAAGCCATCATCTCACTCCAGGGCCCTAGCGCCTTCCTTTTCAAGGAAGGAGCCTGGTTACAATTCAAGTTTTTAACAAACAAGAGGCTAACCAGAACATAGCATGTGGTCTGCTTAGCTCTGAGACTGTTCCACTCCATCACCCTTAAGCAAAATTCACCTTTTTTCTTGCTTCCTAGAGAAAAGGAAGAATTACAGGTCTCATGTGTGGGTTCTGCTTCACCCCATTTCCCCAATGAGCACAAAGGCCCTGCTGACACCTTCTGTTTCTTCTTGTCCCAAATGAACTCTGCAAAGTTCAGTTAGGCTCAGAAGGGGAGATAGACACTGTTTGGAGTTAAGATGTCTTCTACCTGTACTGTTCTCTCAAAAGTTTCTTGTCAGTGTGATCAGTGGCAAACTTCTGTTCATCAGAGAAGGCATTTTTATTCAGAACTTTTAAGTTTGCCATATAGAACTCAAACCTCTTTTGGATGAAGCAAAGTCAGCTGCTCCTGACAGTCTTTGTCTCTCTCAGGGCTGGGGAAGTGCTGATCTCCGTTAAGGGAAGTCTTATTGATTTCAGGACCTCCCCAACCCTCCAGTACTTTTTGAGCTTCACCTGGGTCCTGGATATAAAGACAGAGTATTGGTCTATATAGGATCCAGGAGCACAGTGGCCCCCATGAGGAGCACCTGATCAGGAAGTTGGCACAATGTCCCCTTATGTAATCTAGTAAACAATGAAGGAACAGAAAAAGAGTAAAATCAACCACCTTGCTGACAATGGTATAACTTTCAGGGCAGAAAGCCTGAAGAACTATTTCTTGAGAAGACATTTCTACTTTTTGCAACCTGCCTTGGAAAGGGCTATTGTTTCAGGGAGCCACGCTGTACATGTGGCATTTTGGCCCTGTCTGACAGGCAGCCTGTTCTAGAAAAAGCTTCCACATCTCAGCTTGCATAAATTCTCTCCTCAATGGGTACAAACCTACCCAAGAGTGTCTCATTCAGTATGAGAACAACCAAAAATCAGCATATCATCTCTGTTTAAGGACAGAAGTTCAATAAATAATATGTTAAAATTAGTCAGAAATATCCTGAAGAAAACTGGGAAATGTGCTGTTAGAACTTCCTCTATTTAAGATATTAGCAATCCTTTCTGTTTTGCAACATTATTCAAACTCCCTTTAAGGAAATCATGATTCTGAACAGTATTAGGCTGCATCCACCTTATTGAGCCTTGCAACAGGAAAGGAAAGGTCATTAACGTATCTTGCTTATAGGCAATGTGAAGCCAATAAAGAATTTCAATCCCAAGCCACATAATAAATTAAAATGAACCATAATTCTTCAACAATATTTGTTGAGAATAAGATAGTATTTCTCCAATTATCCCCATCTAGCATAAAAGGAAAATTTCTTGTTGCTTTAAATAATGCAAGGTTTAATTTGGCTATTTTAAAACATATAAAATATGGGAAATATTTTAAAAGTACAAAATTTCAAGTTCCCAATAACCAAAACCATGTAAAAGTATGTACATAGTTAAATGAAGACTAAAAGATGCAAAAAAGAATCAATTGTGTAAGTGCTGGGATTAAGGATGCTTTTTAAAATTCTTCTTTCAAAATTATTATACCATTTTTTTAGTTAGAAAAAAACACAAAAGTCCATTAATTTGTTTGACAAATTTAGTAGGACTAAAGGCTAAGCACTATGTTAGGGGCTGGGTATACAATAGTGAACAAAACAGAATATGGTGAAAAGCACTCCTAACCAGTTAATAAAGCATCTCAGAACTAAAGATATAGACATATTTACTGATAAAAATAAAAACATTCCAAACTAACTTATTTGCAGAGTAGCAAAGCATCACCCTAAAAGAAAAATGATTTTCTGTATTTGGACAAATAAGAGATATACAGTTTTATAATCTCTCTGTCCCCTTAGAATGTCTTCAATTCCATCAAAACTAGAACTTTACTATTGATACACAAAAAGATACCTAATAAAATAAAATTTAAATCTATTTTTCTCAAGCTCACTTTCAGAACAATCTCTCTCTAACTTTATTCTCTTCTTAGGGAGGGATAAGATGGAGATAGATATGAGATAAGAAAGAAAAACTTGCTTAGATGCCTTCCATAGTCCACTTACCCAAAATATAAGGATCTGAAAATAGTATCTTAGCAGAGCTGCAGATCTTTTTTAAAAGCAAGCAGCAATTGTTAGGAGTCTGTTCTACTCTAAAACCAAAAGATATAGAAACATCGTGAAATAACCAAACCTCAAAAACCCACTTAGCTAAAAGGGCATTTCCTGAGCAGACCACTCAAGCAAGCAAAAAACAAACTAAAGGAGAAGACAAAAAACTTCAGTTTTATTTTTAACAAATCTAAACTACCACTTAATTTTTCACACTTCCTTCTACAGATAGTGGAGGGCAAGAGAAGCATAATGGTTTTTGATGAAGATTCTGTTGACTCATTTGTATCTTGTGGGAGGATCAAGAGCTGGGGAGGGGAAACAAGTCATGCAGCAAAGATTGGCAAATACCTAAGAATTTACGCTGAAACATTTAAACCAGTCTGGAATGAACCCTAAGTGAACACAACAATTCCATGCAGTAGAAGACTCATAAACACTTTGTCAGAACCATTAAGGGTGAGTTCTAGTGGAAAGTAAAATTGAATGAGCACCTGAAGAGGAGTAGGAAGGAACATCTTACTGCTGCCTCATGTGGCTCTGGTGTTTGCTCAGAAGGAAAATGACAACAGAGAGGAGTGCCGATCACACTGTCACCTGCTCCAACAAGAAGAGAGTGTGCCAGTTTAAGGGGAAACATCACTGTCATGGAGGTCGGGAATTAGATTACAAAAAACTTTAACCAAAGAGAATGTCAGGGGAAATTATTAGGACAAGATAAACTAGTCGATAGGAAAGGCACTCAGGTTTCTCAGAGCACCCTTCTCTCTCTATGAGGAGGCATGTTTTACCTGGGGAAGCCACTTATCAATCTTTGCTTTAGTTTCGCTATTCCTGCCTTTCCCTCCATCCCAGGGTCGTTGATTTGATATGGGCTATATATATTATCTGTGAAACACTCAGTCCTTTGTAAGCATCCTCTTGGCCACCAGGGCCTATTGGTCAGTTCTCCTCAATGTCTTTTAGATTCAACCTGTCTTTTGCATTCCCATGTTAACCACCATTCCTATTCTCACATCTGTATTGCTGCAGCAATAAGCTCTTAGTTATCTTCCTATCTATATATCTTCTATTCTAGTATCTCCTATTAACCAAGCCTGGATGAAAGTTCTTAAAACTCCACTTTAATGCTAAGGAACCAAAGTTCTTACTGATAATCTATGGGAACAAGTCCAGATTCCTCAACTTGTCACGAAGCCCTTCCCATCAAGTGTCCCCACCCAACCTATCCAACCACATCATCCAAAGACAATCTTGTTCATTCTACTGCCCCTTCCTTTGTTATTTCTCACTTTTCCCCCTAATTTTCACCAAGATGAAAATAAAGCCATAAAACCTAGTTACTCTCTTCTTCAAAAATCCTGCCCCTAATGCCATCTCACCATGACCTTCTCTTAGTCTGAATCCTTTCAATATAAATCTTTATATTCAGCTATAGAAGTGTTCTTAGTTTCTTCAGGTGTTCCTTGTCTCCCATAAGTTTATTTAAAGGGGGAGTTTATTCAAAAGAAAACACATAAAATGCCTCCTGTAGTTTTAAGTTTATCAAAGGTAATGATAGTGTCTTCTATGCATTTGTATAACCCACAGTGTTTAACATGGTCTTGAGCATACCTAAAATAAGTCTATTGTGATAAAGTATGCTGTGTAATGTGGTTAGGCTTTGGTTAGAGATCCCCTCTGACTTGGTTACTCACTACATCAATTACTCCAGGTCTCTTGCCTGCACAGTCTATGTTTGTCTCTGCCTAGGCACTTTCACTATGCCAGGAGCAGATGGGCCTTCCCTACAGGGAGGTCCAGGAACCTGACAAAGAGTACTTCCCTGAGTGCTGCTGCCCAAGCAGCAGGGATATTGTTATGAAAGGAATGGTGCCCCTACTGAGGCACAGAGTCCAGCCCCAAAGGGCTGCAATGGCCAGAAAAAAATGACCTCCTTTATCTCCAAAATAGACGGAGATAAAGATAGAGTTTAGATAGATAGAGATAGATAAAGATAGACTGTTTCTCCTTGTATAAATAGACACAGAAGAGGTGTATAAAACACCTCTAACAAATCTTGTTTGCTTTGCTCTTGTTTTCACATCATCCACAGCAGGGAAGACCCCTACCCCTCTTCCAATCTGCTTCTTGTCACTACGGCATTCTGAGACCTCATCAATCTCTTCAGTTCACCTGCTATGAACATCATGGTCAGCTTCCCACATACCACACAAAGAATCATACTCTGCTTTTGGTTTCAAAAACACAGTCCTCAAGAGGCAAAGTTCAACTGATAATTTGCAATTGACGTAATTTACCTTTTTTTTTTTTTATGGCGAGTCTGGACTCTTGGTGAGGCTTGGCATCTTGTTTAAAATATAATCAAACTTATTACCAGAGGGGAAGAGGGGAAGGGGGGAGGGAGGAGAGTGAAAGGGATAATTCGGCACATGTGTGTGGTGATGGATTGTAATTAGTATTTGGGTGGTGAACATGATGTAATCTATGCAGAAATAGAAGTATAATGATGTACACCTGAAATTTATATAATGTTATAAACCAACGTTACTGCAATAAACAAAAAATTAAAATAAAAAATAATAATAATAAAATAAACAATAGAGGAAAAAAGAAATAAAATTCTGAAGACATATACGTAAAAAAAAATATATATATAATCAAACTTGAAGACTCATCTTTTGTTTGATTGTTCATTCCCTATTGGGTCATTCATTTATTCATTTAATGAATATTTATGAGTCCATATACATGTAAGAGAATGGAGAAGAGGGGTACTACAGAAGTGTACAACAAGTTGTCTTCATTCAAGGATCCTTTATTCTAGTAGGGAAGATAAGTACCCAAATAACTATAATTTAAGGCCATTTATGATAAATACCATAAGCCTGGTGCAAACAAAATTTTGAGGAGGCCAAGATCACTTTTTATTTGGTTATCTGGATAGCCTTCATGGAGGAAGTAACATTTGAGTTGGGTTTTGAAGATGTCTACAGAGCCTGAGAGAAAGCAATATGAAACATAGGGAATAGTAGGAGGAGGGTAGCTTTGTGAGGGGCTCAGTTGGACTGCAGCATTGGTTATGGAGAGGAGAGACTTGATTGATAAGGCTAGGAAGGGAGGTTAAGGCCAGACCCTGGAGGAATTTGAATGCCAGGCTGAAAAGTCAGACTTTATTTGATGGACAATGAAAAACTGCTGAAGATTTTTTTTTTGTTTTAACAACTTTATTGAGGTAATATTGACATACAATAAACTATACATTTCAAAGTGTACAGTTTGATAAGTTTTGGCATGTGTATACACATATGAAACCATCACCAAAATCAAGATAATCAACATATCCAATCACCTTCAAAAGTTCCACAGAAAGATTTTAAGAGATGGCAATCAAAGCAATGCTTTGGGAAAATTTTTCTTGATTTTTTAAAAATAAATTCCCGCTTCTGATAAGTTTTTTGAAAGTCTCATGATCTCCTTCAGTGATATGTAAAATTTCAAAATGAATTATACCATATCTAAAAATGAATCAAAACAATGGGCAAAGAAACCACAACTTTGGTCAATATGGTGGCAGTATATACGACAGACTGGAATGGGGCAAGCCTGGAATAGGACAATCAATTGAAAGCCTGACCAGTAGTTTTTACCAATAGTCCAGGCAGGTGGTAGTGAGCTCTCATAGAGAGAATCAGGACCAAAAGGAAGGAATAAGTGAGAAAGACTAGGTGAGCAGGGCTGGAGAGAGGGAGAAGGGAAAAATGAGTGAGATTTTGAGCTAGTTGGATGACAATCTGGGAAAGTATGGGGATAAGAAAGGTGTATAGAAACAAAGAATTAGAGTTTGTGGGTATGAATTTGAGAAGAAGGGAAATAAGTCAGACTTAGGAATCACTCACATCGAAGCAAAAGGTAAAGTCATATGATTGGCTTGCCTTTGTGAGAGACAGAGTTAATGGAGAGGAAAAAAGTCAAGCCTAGAACTTTATGAACTCCAAATCACAGGGGCTCCAAATTGTTAATGGTACAGTGCTTGAAATATTTTCAGGCAATGGGCTAAGCCCTTTACAAAGTGTATTGTTTCATTTATCCCTCACAACAATCCTGTGAATCCAAATTGTCTCTATTTTAAGATGTAGAAACTAAGGTGCAAAGGAATTGGATTACTTGCCCAATGTCACATGATTATTAAACTGTTAAAATCAGACAATCTGAATGTATTCTCAAATCTCTGAGCTACAGTGTCTTCTTCCTGTAGCCCAATCACTTCAGCTCTCCTAGGATAGGGTGGCCTAGCAACAAACACAACACCCAGGCCAGAGCTGCTTTACCCATGGGGCTGGTCTAATCCCCATGGGCATTATATCCGCAATCTCAAGATACTGCAGTATACCTGGAGCTAGATTCACATTCTGATGTTTTGTGGGTAATATAGGATGGAAAGGGAGATGGTATGGCTAAGAAGGAAAAGAAAAGAGAAAGAGGAGGCTGCTGGCCTCTGATGTTTATCATTCGATTTTTTTTTTCAGCTTTATTGAGATATCGTCAACATATAACATTGTGTAAGTTTAAGTTGTACCTCGTAATGATTTGATATATGTATATATTGTGAAATGATTACCCCAATAATGTTAGTTAACATATCCGTCACCTTACCTAGTTAAATAATTTTTTTGTGTGTGGTGAGAACTTTAAAAATTTACTCTTGTAGCAACTTTCAAATATACAATAAAGTATTGTTAACTATAGTCACCATGATGTACATTACATCCCCAGAACTTTTTCATCTTATAACTGGAAGTTTGTACCCTTTGACCACCTTCACCTATTTCCCCCACCCTCCACCCCCTGCCCCTGACAACCACCACTCTGTTCCCTATTTCTATATCATTAAATTTAGATTGCACTTAATGAGAATTAGTTCAAATGCATAGACAGAGGAATTTTATTTCATGAACAGAACAGCCTTAGTCAAAGTGAAAATAGTGATTTCGCCTGAGAGGTCAAATACCACAAAACTCACCATGTGTTGAGTTTACAGTAATGTAAGAGACAAAGGCATACATAAAGTGTCTTAAATTAGTAGCAAAAAAAGCTACTTTCAACTAAAGAGAAACATGAAATCTCATTTCTGGATTACTAACCTCTACTATGATTTATCTAAGAATAGAAGAAATAGCATAACTTGAAAAAAGTCAAAATATATTTGCAGCTCTACATCTTTATTTCTTTGCATTTAGGAGAGCCAGATGGCTGGCTGGCTGAAGGGAGGGGATGTGGTTAGCTTTGTTAAACTTTAGCCAAAGCCATTAATGCCTTTCTTCAAAAATAGATACAGCAATGCTTTTCTTCTTGATAATCAGTAAGTAGTCTGGTTTTGGGGCTTTTGGATGAAAGAGTCTCCACTTGATGATTGCCTACTAATCTATGAGATTATTAAGGACTATTATGAGATACACAGAGTATAGAACCATATGTTTCACTTTCAATCACTTGTGGTAGGGCCAAGGAAATGTATACCTTCTATTGACTACTCAGGAGTCACAGAGCTCTCTGACTTGCCAAAGGTCCTAGAGAAAGTGTGGACTATACAAGAGCTAACAAACATTCTTAGACTAAATTCTGTAGAAAGAGTTATCCTATCTACAACTGTGTTTGGCAGGAATGATCAGGATTGCAACAGAGTTTAAATTATTCAAGGAGAAATGTTCATTTAACTTTAGAGAAGGAGTTTGCAGACTTTTTCTGTAAAGGTCCAGATGGTAAATATCTTAAGCTTTATGGCTGTATGGTGTCTGCTGTAACTACTCAACTCTGCCATTGCAGTGCTAAAATAGCCATAGACAATATGTAAACAAATGAGTGTAGCTGCATTCCAATAAAACTTTATTTACAAAAAAAAGCAGCAGGCCGGATTTGGCCTGTGAATTGTAATTTTCCAACCCCTGCTCTAAAGTGATAGGTCTCGAACTCTATTATGTAATCAGAATCACCTGTGGAACTGGTTAAAAAGGTACGATCCTAGGCCCCAGACCGCTTCTACAGAATCAGAGTATCTAGGGATGGAGACTGGAAATCAGCAATTTATAAGGTCCACAAGTGGTACATGAACCACACTTTGAAAAACACTGCGGTATGCAGCTAGCTTCATCTAAGCTGGGATGGCCCTACTGTCCTAGATGTGGGTCAGGACTTCCTGCATCCTGTGGCAGTAAAAATGCAATAACTCTTTTATCTTTCTTTGGCCTTTCTAGTAGAAGAGCCAATGAACAAACTGTTATTTTTTGCTTCCAATCTTGAAAATGCATAAAGTAATTCTGCTCAGGTGAAATTAACATGAAGTTTAGGTTATGAATTTAAAAGAAAATCCTCAACTTAAAATAACAAGATTTTCCAACTAAAAATCTCCCTGAAATCCTTTAGACTGCAAAATTAGTAGACAAGATCCTTACCAAAGGACAAGTCTAGATGTGAAGGAGTAGTTTACTATATGCTCCCTTTTTCCCAAAATATCTCCAGCAAAGGCCTGTCCTGTTGCCTGGAATTCCACCACTAACAAGTCATTACTTTGTGTCTGGAGGTCTTTGCTTTAACAGAACCTCATTAAAACTCACATAAAAACAGAAAGTATAAAATCTCTGTAGACCTCTGGGAGCTGCTCCCAACTTTAACAATCAGCAGAAAATAAATTATTCAGCTAAGTTCAGTTCTGTCCCAAAGAAAGTGGTTTTTGATTTGGTTGTTTTGTCTGTTTTGATTGCCAGAAATCAATCACCCGATCAAAGAGGAAGCAGTGTTCAGGCTGGTAAACAGCTCCACCTCTTCTTCAGCTCTCCAGATTTTCCTAGGAAGGAAAATGAATATCCTACAGTCAAAAGGATGGTTTTCAGGAACTTCTTAAAGAAACCAGGAATGATCTGCAGATACCTCCAGAGAATGCAGCTCTTACTAAGGCTTTTGTTGATCCTGGAAATGAAGGGCCATGCTCTATAAGAGCAGATGTTCTAATGGTTACTAAGACATGGGCTTAGAATGCCTGCTATAGTTATCATTACAGCAGACGACACTAATTGTTTTTTGTTAGATAATAGTAAGATGATTCTGAATTTCCTCAACACACACCCAAAGATGTTAGGGAAAGAAGACCCAGAAATTTACCAGAGAGCAGAGTGAAGCTAGGCTGAGATTTGATCTCCATCACCAATATACTTTATAGAAGATTATGAGTAGGAAGTGGAAATTAGCTTTACAAAGTTAGCAGTCAACATTTTAGGCAGCATGACTCTGGAGTCCAACACCCACAGGCTGAGCTTCTGACTGCTCCCTTTTTCCATGGCAAAAAAATCCCGCCATTTTCAACAAAGTAGGGAGGCCTATTTTCCCACGTGGTTTCCAACTTACAGAAAGAATCATGAATTGGAGTCCCGGGTATTAGTACAAAAACACTGCAAATGCCTAGTAAAGCCACGGGCCCCAACAGACTTACCCAACCTCCCTGGCCCTGGATGAACTCCCGGATGGCACTGTTGCCATTGATCATGTTTGTCATAGGGATAGCCATCTGTCTTGCCATTTCAGGAGCTATGTGGACCACATATTCAAGAAGTTTCACTGATACTGCCAGAAAGGCTCTCTCATACACTAAGCTGGAATCCTGAGCACACCAGGTCTGGCTGAGAAATTTTACTGTGTTCTGAAGTACAGCTCCTGCCTGGGGAGAGACACAGGATATATCAGTGGAGTATCACTAAAAAAGTGCAGGAGGCTGCAGATACAGGAATCCAGTAAAGCAAGTGCTTCCCAAATAGTGGCAAATGTACCACTGCTTGTTCTGAGGTAATCTTAGGGAGTAGATGGATAAACTTTTCTCAGTTTATTATTTTGTTCTTTATTGTATTGGGTATTAGAAAAAAGCATAAGTAGCCCATCAAACCCATGATTTCAGGTATTATTACTTAGGATGAACAAAATGATTGAAAGAAAAACAAAATGATTTGAAAGAAAAATATTAAGTGCATGATATTACTGCTGGTCAAATTTTGAAGGTATTGTTTGAATGACTAAAGTCTGGGAAACTCTAAAGTGAAAAAAATGATTAGCTTTTCCTCTTCCTCTTTCCTTCCTAAAAAAACTTGGTTCAAAAGCCATTAGGGCCAGCCCCGTGGCTTAGCAGTTAAGTATGCGCGCTCCGCTATTGGCGGCCCGGGTTCGGATCCCAGGCGCGCACCGACGCACCGCTTCTCCGGCCATGCTGAGGCCGCGTCCCACATACAGCAACTAGAAGGATGTGCAACTATGACATACAACTATCTACTTGGGCTTTGGGGGGGTGGGAAGGAGGAGGATTGGCAATAGATGTTAGCGCAGAGCCGGTCTTCCTCAGCAAAAAGAGGAGGATTGGCATGTATGTTAGCTCAGGGCTGATCTTCCTCACTAAATAAATAAATAAATAAATAAATAAATAAATAAATAAAAGCCATTAGATGGGGCCAAGAAAGATCTACTGTGGGTTGTGTAGGGAGGCCCATGGTGGTCAGAACAGGATGTCAGAGACCAAACAAGCTGAGAAGGGCATCCATGTGAGAGTACCTAGATCTTGGTTTCCAAATATTGTTCTCCATTAAAAGAAACCAGAGCTTTCTGGACAATGGCTGATTTCAGGCTGGGGCTTGGAAAATATAAGATGATCTGTCAGAAACTGAGGAAGTACTCAGAGAGTGAGAGGGACACGCCAAAAAGACACAGTCCAGATTGAAAGGACTCCCACTGGCCAAAGCTGGGACAATTTGAGCGTCCAAATAAATAATGACAGTAACATATTATAACCCATTGAATAAAGTAGGAATTCATGAGTCCATGTTGATATAAAAAAATAAAGGGATTGAAATTTTGATGACATATGGGATATTGACATGGTTTCAAAGTACCTCCCTACAAAACACTTATTAATTAAAAAGGGAAAAGCTTAACTTTACAATGGAGAAGCCATGCAGACACCATCTTTGGTGATTAAAGTTGACACCAGTAATGGGACAAATTGAAATCTGTACCACTTGATAGGATGCAATGAGAAGAACATAGCAGCACTTTTGTGATATTCCCACCAAAGGTGCATATCCTGAATCTATTCAAGTGGAAACGTTAAACAAACCCAAGTTAAGGAACATTCTACAAAATAACTGCCCATAATCTTCAAGTGTCAAGGTCACAAAAATCAAGGAAAGACTGAGGGACTACTCCAGATTGAAGGACACTAAAGAGACATGACAAGCCAATGCAACATGTGATTCTGGCCTAGATCTTTTTTGCTATAAGTGACATCATTGAAACAATTGGAAAAACTTGAATGGGATCTGAGGATAAGATGATAATGTATCAGTGTTAATTTCTTGGTTTTAATGGTTAGATTGTAGTTATATGAGAGAATGTCCTTGTTTGAATGAAATACAAAAGTATTACGGGGTGATGGAACATCATGTCGGCTACTTACTCTTAAATGATTCAAGAGGGAACTTCTTTGTACAGTACATGAAACTTTTCTATGAGTTTCAGGCTGTTTTAAAAAAAAATTGTTTTAATTTTTAAAAAAAGGTAGATTCAGCTATCAGCTACTTAGGAAAGCTTCATGCAAACAATTAGGAGTAATTACTAAGTCTAGTTCTGCCTGAATAGACACAACACCTAAGCTGTATTCAGTTGGCAGAATAAAGCCTAATGGTTAAGAGTGTGGTTCTGGAATCAGTCTGGGTTCACATTGTAACTTCAGCACTTACTGAGTAACCCAGTTACTTGTTTCCCTATTCCTCAGTTTCCTTATCTGCTTAAATGGATATCAAGTCAGAAAATACTTACTGAGCACCTATTGTATATCAGGTACTCTTCTAGGTTGTGTGTATACAACAGTGAACAAAAGAGGTTAGATGTTTGTTCTCACAGTGTTATATGCAGATGAGGAGAGGTTGTGCTATAGAAAATATTTTCTACTATACCTCATAGAGGGGTATAAGGATTAAATGAGATAATAAGTGTAAAGCACTTAGAATACTATCTGGCATGTGGTAAGTGATGAGTTAATATTAGCGGTCATTGTTGATATTAATCAGCAACATCTTCTAGAACATTGTCTATGGTCTTTATATCCAATGCAAAGTTGAAGTGCTACTGCCAGTAATTAGCATTCTGATGAAAAGCCAGATATGCCCTAGTGGGCTGCTGTAAGTACTTATCCTTCATTGCATCAGACTTGTCAACTGCATTTCCTTCTTGTATACAATTTCATTGCTGGACCTTGCAGTGGGGTGGGGGGGCGGGGGCTGGCGGGGGCGATGATGCCCACTCCCAGCAAAATAAATATTAAAACAGGTGTGTAAAAGAATAAAGTGCTTTACCAGGGATAAATTGCTATAGGTATGCTGTATGCCACTAAGCACAGCTCTGATGAAAAACAAATGGAAACAGTCTGAAGGTTGATCAGCCTATGCCAAAAGCTTTCCATTTCAATACCACTTAGGTTTTGATTAACTCCTAAAGAATTGACAATTGGAGAATTCTTGCTGCATCTCCTTGGATGAATATAAGCCCCCAGTCTTTCACAGAACATTTCTAGTCACAGTCTTATAGGATTAGTAAGAAAAGGGTGTCTGAAGTAGAAAAAAAGCAGCAAACAATAGAAAGAAGTAGTAGAAACTTGACCTGTCCCCGAATGGTTTCTGCAATGATGTTCTTGGCAGAAGCTTCCAATTCTCCGTTGAACTGGTCACCCAACATCCGAAGGCGACCAGCAATGATGGCCACGTCAAAAGAGCAAGCCTCTCCTAAGACAGAGGGAACACATTCACATTTGTCACAATGCTTGAAGGGATGTTAAGTCCCAGGAATCTGGGCATTGGAGAAAGTTCTCTAGACTTTTAAACAGTTTTGGCATCATTCTCTCTCAAGAAAATCTTCAATGTTCTGTCAACACCATTCGTCAGAAAATCTCCCTTCACTGAGAATCTCTTTCCCTTCCATGAACACTTCAGGTATTGCTGAAAGCTTAGAGTTTGCTTTTTGAAACTTAAGAGGAAATAAGTAAGGAAATAAGATTCTCTTATTGGCCTGCAATCACCACCTCAGGCCAGGAGCCTTACCTGAATCTGGTTGGTCTACAGAACATAGCTCCCGGTTAGCAACCTGCAACGTGGTGCCTAAGAAGTCTGTGAGTAGAGAGTTCACGATGCACTCCGTTTGCTCCTCAAAAGTTTGGGGGCTCTTCATTTTAGATGTTTGCTGCTGAGTTTTGCTTTTCCACAAAACAAGTTGTTTTCAGCTCAGCAGGAAGTCAGAAACTGGTAAACCAGCAGATGTGTCTACCTTTTCTAAAGTTTCCTAATGGGACACGTAGTCCTAGAGCCTGTCTCACCACCTGTCTTCAAAAATAGCTGCTCAGAAAGGTAGGACTTCCCTGAAGAGCTTACCCACACAGAACTGGAGAGATTTCTTAAAGACTTTCAGTTCCTTGTTTCAGAACTACACCCTAGCCAGTACCTAAGATTAATGAGTAACTTTTATAGCTAGATTGCCAATATAGAACTGAAATAGAGTTGAGGAAGAGCCTCTTGGGTAATTTCATTAAGAAATACTTCCTGTTAGGTTCTATGTATGGTGTAATACAAAGAAGGAAGGTTTTGAAATTATAATAGATAAGCATTCAACTCCTGATTATGGCATTTATTTTCTTGTCCTCACGGAGCTTACACTTCAGCATGATGACAGATATTACATGACTAATCACATAATTTCTTGTGCATATTGAGATACAGGGTGTGATTACAATGTGTAATAGGGAAACAAACCTAGGGGGTTAGAAAGGCTTCCTTGAAGTGGTAACATCTGAGATGAGCTCTGAAGGACAAATAGGAATTCATTAGGTAAAGAGGAGGAATAAGACCATTCCAGATGGAAGGAATAGGATAGATAAAAGCTGAGAAAGTGAAGAAAACAAAAAAAAAACCTTGGGAATTTGAGGAATTGTAAATGGGGATAATAAAAAGTATTTCACAGGGAAATTATGATGATTAAATAAGATAATGTTATGTGGAATGACCCAGCACTGTCTGACTTGCAGTAAACATTAAATGTCATCCTTTTAACCAAAGACCTAATGACCAGAACGAAAGTATCGGACACTGGATTATTAATCTAAGAAGGGGGATCTGCTTAATGTGACTGGCCCTTTCTGAATTCATTTGCAGAAAATAAAATCAATCATGATGAGGTGGAAGACTAAGACCCAATATGCCCCAGGTAACTCTAGAGACTCATGGATTGTAATTTCAATGGTGACATGTGGAGACCGCATTTCAAGGGAAAAACAGAAAGTGCTGAATATACCTATTTCATCCATTCTCCAATCACAGTGTATCCATTTTAATAACGTTGTCTGTCTTCACTGTGGTACCTGCAAAAGTTCCTTTTATTGGTCACTCAGTATCAGTAAACCACAATCACTTGAACTAGGTGAATTAATCAGTCACAGAGATTCCCTGAATTCCCCTGTTCTCTCCTTTTGTTAAAATCAGAGAGAGAGGCATGTCTGCCTCTGCCTCTTTTATGTTACCACACTGCTGATAAATTATAGCAAAAAAGTAACTAGAAAAAAAATTCATATCATGTCACAGTATTGAGAGAGAACTCTTGAAGACGCAAGATCTCTAGGTGTTGATGATACTTTAAAGCTTGTATTTACTTGCTAACTGAATGTAATATCAACAAAATTTGTGTACAAGTCTTGAAGACACTTTTATGATTCTCCACATGTGCTGTGAGTCATGACTTCTATTCAACCATAGTTCATGCTCATAAGCTAGTTATGTGCCTAGCACATTAAGCACCTTCTGTTCTTTCTCTCTGTCTCTGTCTTTCTGTCTCCTTTTGTCTCTCTCTCTACTTCCCCCAAGGCAGCCACACTCTGTCCCTGAAATAAGAAGATAGTTTTTCTCTCATTAGTGGGTCTGCACCTTTGCTGTGACTACACATCTATGCCTCTTGTCAAAACCAGCTAGGGGGCCGGCCCCGTGGCTTAGCGGTTGGGTGCGCGCGCTCTGCTGCTGGCGGCCTGGGTTGGGATCCCCGGCACACCGATGCATCGCTTCTCCGGCCATGCTGAGGCCGTGTCCCACATGCAGCAACTAGAAGGATGTGCGGCTATGACATACAACTATCTACTGGGGCTTTGGGGGGAAAAAAATAAATAAATAAAATTAAAATAACTGTTTAAAAAAAAAAAAACACCAAGGGACTACCTAATTTAGTAGGATTGTAGGCAGTCATTAAAAATGTTTAAAAAAAAAAAAAAACCAGCTAGGATGCTGTGGTGTCTATCCTTCTGGTTGTACTCTTCAGTCCTCCGTACCCCACCAGACTCAGCAGGGAGCTGCTGGTGATGGTAGAGCATGATGTCCCATGGGACTCACTGGATGAATGCTGTTTGACTTCTTCAGTTCTTCCTGGCCTGTCCGACTCCTACTGTCTTTATAGGAGAGCTGCCATCTTCTCATTTGAGGAAATGGAAGTCTATTCTGCTCTGGATGTAGCCAGTGAGTACTCCCTTGTCAGTATAATAAAGCTCCAACTAGACCACCAGGTAGACCCCATATTTTTGTATCCCACACCTCTGCCTGTGCTGAGATTTACCATCCCTGTGTGCAAGACCTATAGACATATTGGTTTGAATCAGGCTCTAGGATTTAGTTTTAAGGACAGACATCAGATGGGTCTGGGAGCCACCCTCTCTTCCTTGTCCCAGGCCAGGCCTATGGCTTCTGGCTCCAAGTTAACACATTGGACACAAGGCAAGTGTGACAAACTTACACTCACCTCCGCAGCACAAGCACAGAGGTGTCCATCTTTGTTCCTGATTTCCATCAAATGTCTCTCCTCACCTGCAATGCTCTCATTTTCATACCTGAAAAATATCCCTTGAATTTCTAAACATTTCCATAGATGTTGGCAGCCTTATCTACATCTTTGGATTTGTTGTTTCCTGATTTCACTGCTCTCATCCCCAGGTCTGTCTTCTCTAAGTTGGCTATCTCAGCTAAGCACTCATCTGAGTACCAGGACATAAACACCTCTACCATTACCTTTCTTGTATGTTTCCATGAAGCAAGTCTGAGCCCTGGCTTTCCCCGACCCAATGAATGGCCAAGGTTTCTGTGTAGCACCAAAGATTCATTTTGATGTGAGGGTTTGTAGATTCCATCCATCAGTCTAGTCTCAGTGAATAAATTCTGCTAAACCATCAACAACCAGCTGATCTGATGAAAGAAGGCTGAATATTGTAGTAACTCATTTAGAATGCAGATAGGCTAGTTCCCCAGAATCCATGGGAAAAAGATATGTTGAACTGTTTACACAGACTCAAGAGGGGACATTGTGATAAGGATCTACCAGATCAGGGAGATATTGTCCAATGGCTCAGGAAAGCAAACCAAGGCAGTTTCACACACACAACCTGAGAGATCCTGGAATATTTCTCTTACAAAATCCTGTTGTCCCACTGAAGATATTATGTCCCCGTGCTAGTACTGGACACTGTATTATTAATATATAAAGGATATCTGCTTAATGGGACTGACCCTGTCTGGATTTATTTGTAGAAAAACATACTGATCTTGACGAGGAGGAAGACCAAGTGCGCATATGTTCCAGGTAACTCTGAAGAATCATGAGTCTTCATTCAATGGTGACATCTGGTGATCTCAGATCTAGGGAAATCAGAAACGGCTGAATATACCTGTTTCACCCATTCAGAGAACTACCAAGTGTCCCTTCAACAATGGTTTCTGTTTTCACTGTGGTACATGTACAGGCCCCTTTATTGATCCCTCTCCAATGTAGTAACCTGCAGTTGATGCATGTGAACGAATCACTCACAGGATTTCTCCTCTGTTCTCTCCTTTTTAGTACAACCACATACGATGCATATCTGCCTCTGCCTGTTTGGCATTACCATGTTGGCAGGTATTTCATGGCAAGGAAAATGACTAGAAAAAAAAAAATTCATATCATATCTCAGTATTTAGAGAAATAGGCCTTGAAGACACAGAATTTCTAGAGGTCTATAATGCTGCCAAAGCCTGTGTCCACTTGGCTGCTGCATGTAAATTTCAACAAAATTTATGCAAAAGTGTTGAAGGCACCTTTATGGTTTCCTGAGTGCACTGTGTGTCCTGACTGTTCTGTGTGGGGGAGTTCAGTTTCCTTCTGCTCAGCGCACTGAGCACCTCCTGCTCTCTGTCTCTCTCTCTCTCTCTCTTCTTCCCATTGCAACCACACTCTGGCCCCAGATAGAGGAGGATTGTATTATCTTCTTTGATGGGGACTTCTCATTTGTTTTCTGTGACCAGACCCTTATCCCTCCCATCAAAACCAGGTGAAGGACCCTGTGTTTACTAATCGCTCTTGTTTAATCATCAGTCCCCCCAACCCCCACCAGGCTCAGCAGGGAGCTTCCAGTGATAGAAGAGAATGAAGTCCCATAGGACTCGCTGGATGAATGTTATTTGACTCATTCAATTGGCCAGGACCTGTCAGCCTCCTGTAGGCTGTACAGAAGGGCCTCATTATTAACTGATGAACAGGAAGTCTTCTCAGCTCTGGATGTACACAGTGAGTGCTCCCATTGTAAAGGGCATAGAGCTCCTAGTGGGTCCCAGGTGGCCTCTATGTTCCTTGTCTCCAAGAACCTGTATAGGCTGAAAGATGCAAAGGCCCTGTAGACTCATCTTGGTGTGAATTGCGCTCTTGGATTTAATTTTACAAAGGCATCATGTGGGTCAGACAACTTTCGTCTCATCCCAGGATACCCTCCTGTCACCAGGTCCCTGTTACAAGTGTAGGCTGCTGGTATCAAGTCAGGCTAGAGAGGGGAAATGGATGGATAATGGCAACATCTCAGCCATCGCTATCTCACCTGGACCACAGGCCTGTGTCACAGGCCTCTTGTCACCAAGATAAGACTTCTCATACTCATGAAATGGTGTTGTTACTTGTATTTCCTGAGTAGTTTCTTACAAACTCTCTGGTTTTCCTCACAAGTTTGCAGTCTACTCCATATTTGCAACATCTGTTATGCTGGTCCCGAGCTCAAGGTTTTTCCCCTCAGTGTCCACCCTGCCCTGAAGCATTTAGATACCAGATCCTGAGCACTGAATCCTGCCTGTGCCTGTGGTTTCAATGTAGCCAAAGCTCTGGCTCTGGTTTCCCATCCTCCACAAATGGCTCCAGTTTTCGCCCTCTGTGCAGCACCAGTGATTTCTTCCGTGTGTGGGTTATAGTATCAACCATGTGTCTAGTCTCATTGGTGTCATCTCACGTAAACTATCAACAACCAGTATACCTGTTGGGAGTGTTGTCCTAGTTGATGAGCAAGGCACAGCTGTTGCTCTCTCCATAAATCCAGAAAAGTCGTCTCTGGTGAGTGAGAGCCCCTTGGGGCAGCAGTTTCATGGGGTGTGCAGATTAAAACCCAATTTTCACTTCTTCTCACTCAGGCTAGTCTTTGGACTTGTCTTGTTGGAGAAGCAGTTGGATTGTTAGGAGACTTTACTCATCTATCATCTTGTAGGAAGATCAAGAAACTCTATGATGTACCTTCGTATATCTGACTATTTTATAGTGAAATTGGCCATGAACAATTTTGTCCCTCAACCTTTTTTGGTCAGTAAGT